TAGTGGTGGACAACGACTGATGGTGGGTCATGCCTCCACCTGCCTCACTACCCCCCTCCCCCCACACACATCGATCTTTACCTCACTGCTCCCCTTTGATACAAGCGAGGAACTCTTAATCCAAGGAATCGAGTTATCCTTCCCTTCCTTGGATCGAGCCTGAGTGCCTTCCATTCCTCAGGCGCCATATGACGCCTATGGGCTCAGGTCCTCAATGGTCCTTGATGCTCCTCAAAGGAAGGTTTCTTGAGGCTCCTCAAAGGAAGGTTTCTTGAGGCTCCTCAAAGGAAGGTTTCTTGATGTTCATCAAAGGCCCCTTGATGATCAAAGAAAGATCCTTGATGCTCCTCAAAGGAAGGTTTCTTGATGCTTCTCAAAGGAAGGTTTCTTGATGCTCCTCAAAGGAAGGTTTCTTGATGCTTCTCAAAGGAAGGTTTCTTGATGCTCCTCAAAGGAAGGTTTCTTGATGTTCCTCAAAGGAAGGTTTCTTGATGCTCCTCAAAGGAAGGTTTCTTGATGCTTCTCAAAGGAAGGTTTCTTGAGGCTCCTCAAAGGAAGGTTTCTTGATGTTCATCAAAGGCCCCTTGATGATCAAAGAAAGATCCTTGATGCTCCTCAAAGGTTCCTTGATGCTCCTCAAATAAAGTTCCATGATGCTCAAGGGAGGCTTATTGATGTTCCTTAATGGAGGCTCACTGGTCCTCAAAGGAGGTTCCTTGGTATGCAGTGAAGGTACCTTATCTTGTAGCGCACTCAACTCACACTGAGTGTCTGGGGTTCGGTCCCCGGGATGGGTGAAACGTTGTACATGTTTCCTTACACCAGCAGCCCCTGTTCCCCTAGCAGTAAGTAGGTACCTGGGTGTTAGTCGAGAGATGTGGGTCGTATCCTGGTGGGTGTTAGTATACGTTAGATAGGGCTGAGATAGAATAACATCTCTTAGCCTGTAAAATTGGTGTGTGTAAATTATTATTATTATTATAATCAAAAAAGAAGCGCTAAGCCACAAGGGCTATACAGCTGGTGTGTGTAAAAACAAATGATACTCAAGGGAGGTTCTATATTGCTTTTAAGGGTATGCTCCTTGATTTTTAAGGGACATGTCTTGATCCCATCTAGGGTGCATTCTTCATCCTCAAGGAAAGTTCCTTGATGCTCCTCAAGGTAGGTTTCCTGATGCTCAAGGTTCATTGGTGCCAAGGTAGGTCAATTTATGCTCAAGGTAAGTTGGTTAAAAATGCTTCTCGAGGTAGGCTTCTTGATGTTTCTCAAGGTAGGCTCTATGATTCTAGTGAAGGGACTCTGAATGTGTTCTCCCTTTTCTTCGATTGGCCCTGAATACCTCCCTGGCCACTATGGGTTTAGCACTTTCCTTGTTTAAAATGAAATGAATAAAATCTTCATGTTTGCTGATCCAGCTGTCAGCCATCCATTTACATCTCCATTAACGGAGTGCACTGATGCCAGTAAAGGGTTCTCGAACAAAGGATCTCCAGCACCCAACTTTTCTTTGAATCAAACCTAATTGCCTCCCATTACTCAAGCACTGTATGACCCTTATGGGTTTAACAGTTCACCATGAAGAACTTTCATCCCCATTTATACATTTGTTAGTTTGTTATCTTAAAGCCATGGGTATTGCTTGTTTGTTTTCTCATTGCAGAGTTGAATGTGTAAAAGCAAATATATATTCAATAGCTGAAAATTATTATTACCATTACTGTACAATTTTCAGGAAATGCTAATTATTATTATTATAATCAAGGGGAAGCGCTAAACCCAGAGGATTATACAGCGCCTGGGGGGGGGATGTGGAAAGCATTCAGGCTTAATTCGGGAAACTGGAGCACAGATCCAGTTCCCTAAATCAAGAGCCCCTCACCAACATCAAGGAACCTTCCTTGAGGGAAGGAAATGCTAAACCTGTAAAGGTCATACAGCACCTGGGAAATGGGACACAAGAGCCCTTCACCAACAGTGAGGCTCCTCCCTAGAAGGGTCAATATTTGCAAAGAATGTCACCAAATGGTCTTGATGGCAGAGCGAACTCTATCCAGGTTTGAAGTGTATGTAATAATGCCGTCCACATGAATGATAAGTTGTCTTAATAAGTAGTGCTGCGTACTGTCTTCATATGCCTCAAGGGATATGAAGACAGATGTTGGTGAGATGCTTTTGATCAAAGGAACTGGGCTTAGCCTTCCCTTCCTTGAATCAAACCTGAATGTCTCCCAGGCACTTTATGACTCCTATGGATCGAGCCCTTACTCGTGATTATAAAAAAGTGTCTTCATACCCATACCTGTCAGCAGTATACCTGTTTATCCAAATCAACCTTGGAATTTAATAGGCCATATGCTATGTAATATATCATTAGTGAGATTCACTAGTACTATTATATTCTTCTCTCCTATTTTTCCTAACCATCAAGCCCACCCTCCTGCACCATGTACAATTCATAATACAATTAACCCTTGAACAGCACTGGGGTTAGGGGCACCGACCCCCCCCAGTCGAAAATCCGAATATAACTTTTGACTCCCCAAAAATTTAACTACTAATAGCCTATTGCTGACCGGAAACCTTACCGATAACATAAATAGTCAATTAACACATATTTTGTATGTTATATGTATTATGTACTGTATTCTTACAATAAAGTAAGCTAGAGAAAAGAAAATGTTATAAAGAAAATCAGAAGGAAGAGAAAATGCATTTACAGTACTACTGTACCGTACTTATCGATTCCTGGAGTATACCTGGAGATAGTTTCGAGGGTCAATGCCCCCGTGGCCAGGTCTGTGACCAGGCCTCATGGTGGATCAGCAGGGTCTGATCAACCAGGCGGTTACTGTTAGCCACACGCAACCCAACGTACGAACCGATGCTGTAAGTTTACGTCGTCTGTTTATAAGATGAATTTTCTGTCAGACCTGCATCAATATTGTCTTATAAGATGCAAAAAAACTGTAGATGTTATATGTATTACTGTACTAACACTAGACATAAAAAAAATGAAAAGGTAATGTGAAAAAGAAATTCATACATATTTATTCATGATATTATATTACACCTTTATTTTTGAACAATAAAATGGTATAAAATACCGACAGGTTGTTTAGGTAAGACACATATGCAACAGTTAGGTATCTTTATTTCGAAACGTTTCGCCTACACAGTAGGCTTCTTCAGTCGAGTACAGAAAAGTTGATAGAAGCAGAAGAGACTTGAAGACGATGTAATCAGTCCATCACCCTTAAAGATACCTAACTGTTGCATATGTGTCTTACCTAAACAACCTTTATTTTTGTTTACATTTCTCTCGAATGAGAATGAAATCTGTAGCATCTGTAATTGTGTGCGTAAGTTGTGATCAAATTTAACTTTTTATAATAAATCTGTGAAATTTTATGGTAGTAAATGATAAAATGATAGTATTTAATACTTTTTTTCATTCTGCATACCCAAATTTTTCAGCACAAATCACCAAAAAAATTTCCATAATTTATTGAAAAAACCATTTCAAGCAGAACCCCCCGGTTTCAAACCCGGTTTGTTCCGTTCAACTTGCGTGTATTAAACAAAAAAACAGAGAATATGGATTTGTATTCCCGAATTTTGTGCTTGGTAAGTCCAATTATTGGTTGGTAAGTCCAATTATTTTGCTTGGGAATTTCCCAATTTTTGTGCTTTGGGAAGCCAATATTTGCTTGGTAAGTCCAAAATTGTGTTGGGAAGTCCAAAATTATTTTTGTTGGGAAGTCCAAAAATTGTGCTTGGTAAGCCAATTATTGTGCTTGGAATCCCCTATTGTGCTGGTAAATCCAATTAAATTTTGCTTGGTAAGCCAATTATTGTGCTTTGGGAAATCCCAATTTTTGTGTTGGGAAGTCCCAAATTTTTGTGCTTGGCAAGTCCAATTATTTGCTTGGGTAAATCCAATTCTTGAAACCCTCCTTTTACCAGCATCAAACAACCTCCCTTTGGAGTTTAAAAAGACTTGATATAAAATATGTTAGGCCTTTTAAAAATACTCAAAAAGGGTTTACATATTTTTCTCTAATTAGTTCCAAGAAAAAAATGCAGGCAAGATATTTTATATATTTTAATTTAAAATTATATATATATATATATATAAATTTAAAAATATTATATTTATATTATACACAGGGCGCGCATAACGGAGATAAAACACCTCAATTTCTGGGAGCGCTTGAGGTCCCCAAACCTGTATTCCTGGAAACGCAGGAGGGAGAAAATACATGATTATATACACCTGGAAAATCCTAGAGGGACTAGTACCGAATTTTGCACACAAAAAATCACTCACTACGAAAGCAAAAGACTTTGGCAGACGATGCAAAAATCCCCCCAAGGGAAAAGCAGGGTGTTTCACAATAAGTGTCAGGGGCCCGGCTGTTCAACTGCCTCCCAGCACACATAAGGGGGATTACCAACAGGACCCCTGGCAGTCTTCAAGCTGGCACTGGACAAGCACCTAAAGTCAGTTCCTGATCAGCCGGGTGGGCTCGTACGTTGGTTTGCGTGCAGCCAGCAGCAACAGCCGGTTGATCAGGCTCTGATCCACCAGGAGGGGCCTGGTCACAGGGCCGGCCGCGGGGCGTTGACCCCCGGAACTCTCTCCAGGTAATATATATAGTATAAAATATATGTATATATATATATATATATTATATATATATATATATATATATATAATATATATAATATATATGGAGAGAATGTAGTAACACTAAAGTGTTTAAATACCCTAAGATATCAGTCTAGAAACAAAGTTATGGAGGAAGAACAGTTCAAAAGCATCATCTAGGAGCAAAGTGTATTACAGTAATAAATTATATTTCCTAGCACACAAAACGAGGTGAGGCTCCATATTTGTTTGTTTACTTTGCTACAAGATAAGTTTGAGCATCTTCAGCAAAGATCAAGATGCTCAAACTCATTATTATAATAATAACATTGTGCAAGAAAGGTATAAA